CTATGGTAAACAACGGCTAAACGTGTTCAGATAGTGATGCAATACTGTAGCGGATTGCTAGGCTAGTAAAGCCTGGCTTAAGTCTCAGAAACCTTTGTGATAGATTCTCCTAATAACTGATTCTCCAGAAGAAAGAGACGTATCACTGAAACGTTTATTCACCAGATAAGGACCGCGAATTGTAATTTTTGGCAAAGCGATTAGTTATCAGATAAATCTAGCATAATTCGCGTGAACATTAATAGCTAAATATCTCTGAGTAGTGTTCTGTAGTAGGATTTCTATTGGTCATTGATGAAGTGTCCCACAATACTATAAAGTCTGGTTTACACATGCTTGTTCTAAAACAACTATTTTCGCTCTCAGAAAGTTCAAAGGTCAATAAATTATAAGAAATCATTACTTGCACCAGAACATTATTTTTGGTTAACAATAATTCTATTAAGTTTTAAGAGTAACGCTTTCAATGAGTTATATGGTTCAAATCTAGAGGTAATAGGTTTTTTATAGTTAGATACATGTGACCTAAAGTAATTAAAAAATTTTGCTCCTGTAAATTATTATAGAAATATGAGATAAATGAATGAAAAATAAAAGTGCGAAGTGCATCAAGTGAAATGTTTGTGTTTAAATTTAAGGTATTCAGCAGAAATTCCCGAAAGTAACTTGGTTCAACGATTTTGATTGCAAGCGCATCTATTTCAGACAGACCTAGGAAAGGCTTTCAAAGGTCGTTATGAATATTACCCATAAAAATATCAATAAGATAATGGGCATTCTGGAAGAGCTTTGCTGGGATAGTGATATTTTATATTCTATATTACTTACCAGAAGCAGTCAGAGTATGATTGAATCTCCACGTTAGTGGTTGTATGGTGATGGCCAGCAACCGCGGGTTACTGTGGACGTTGTGGCCTACCCTGTGCGTACGACGCCTGAAAATTTAGTAGACATCATCTAATCGAGATAGAAATTGTTAGTCAGTATTGCCACCTGTCATTTTGTACATTTAAATTACAAAATATAAGTGGTTGAGATTATAAATTTATATATAGGGCTTAAAATCTGTTTTTAAACAGAAATATTTTCACCCTCAATTGTTTCGAAAATTTACCATTATGATAATTATCAACAAGGCTTATTATTAGCTAATAGATTAATATTTTGAAATAAAATAAATATTATATATCGATTTGTCTTTTATTTACATTTTTAATTTCAATTTTATGTTTCGTTTTAAGTAACGCACATAACCGCTCTAAAAATAAATGCGCAAGATGATTTTTGCCTAACTTGGCATAAAATGGACGAAGCTAAGGGCGAGTACAATAGTGGGTGGATATTCAAATTAACTTAAATCTGTAAAAGATTGCGGGTGTATTTGTTTGCATGGATATTTTTTTGTTCACATATTTTAAGATATAATCATTTCTACTAAACTTATTTATTAATTTATTTATTGAAATAATTGTATGCCCTTTCATTTGATCATATAGATGTAACTAATTCCGCCGAATTCAGTAAAGATACTGTCAAATCTAGCCCTAAACGCAGTCAACGCGTTAGTTGCTCTCCTCACTCCCGCAGTCGCAGTCGATCGCGTTCCTCTGATAGCTACCATCGACATTCTAGGCGTCGTCACAGCAGTCCCTGCAGCGATAGTCGATCCAACAGTTCTCGTTCTTCATCTAGATCTTATTCTAGATCAGGCTCTCGCAGTCGTAGCAGGTCTCTTTCTTGTGGTAATGATGGCGCTTTTCCGGAAAAGGATCCTCGTGATCGCTCTATGAGACATAGTTGGTCAAACAATGTTCGTGTTCATATTTTAGCGTCATTTCTCTTACTTATTGTTATTGAATAAATTCCTTTCGGTTGAACAGGTATGGTTGATCGGTGAAAAAGTTAAAGATCTCACATTTCACATTTGCGACATCTGCGACAAACCTATTGTCATATATGGACGTTTAGTAAGTAAATCATCCTCATCTATTTATTGAATTGTTTCATGCATCTTATTTTTCTTTTTTTTACTACTTTAGAAGCCCTGCAATCACGTTTTCTGCTTTTCATGCGCTCTGTCATTACCGGGAAAGTGCCATTGGTAAGCTCATTTCTACCTATTTTTAATCAGTAGAAACATCGCAGTTCTAGATATCTTAAATTCGGTATGCTTTGTGTTGTTTTTTGATGTCCTCTCTTTTCCATCAACTTTTATTAGTAAAGTCGACTCTTTTGACCCTTTCGGGTTTTTAGGGCTTTATAGTCTTCTGTGAATTATTGTTTGCAAGTTTTGTTGAGAAGAAACTTGTATTGCTTATTGCCTTAATGATCAGAATAGAGAAAGCTTGGTCGGTAGCTAATAAATCAGTTCTTAAAAGTATCAAACTTAACTTATGTACTGAGAAGGTGTGCCCAACTTCTAATGCCGACTTACCGATCAAGCTCTCCTGTTCCTAAAGTTTGAACAAGGCGCGGCTAACTAAATCAAGAAAACGAACTATGTATTTTCTTCGTAATTTCTGATAGTTTAGTTTAGCAATCTCACCCATCCCCCCCTTCTCCAGTCTTTCTGGCTTTTTACTCCAATGAACGTTATATAGATACTGCTGTATCGCTATCTGCCACCTCAATTCTCAAGTTTATTTAAATAGTTATTTCAGAACAAAATTAAGTATTCTTCAAGCAGAAACAAACTCGCCAACTTTTGACGTTGCTGGTGACCACTTAAGGACATTCTGAATTTATAATTGGGATTATTATTAAATGAGATAATGGCAAATTTCGTTATTATTATTTGGGAGTCATTATGGTTAAATTATTTTTGGCCGGGGTTTTCCCGTCATCTTTGTTGTTATTTGGCGAATTCTGAAAATTGAATTTAGGTACTAAAGATAATTAAGTTCACAAGCCGAATCCTTAGCATTATTCTCAATTTCTTCCCGTTTGGATTACACTATCCTTACTTATTTTCAGGTACTTTTCCATGATTAAAACTGTTGATTGTTTGTCTTTACTGTGAGTAATTGGATTCAACCAAGGTTATTCGTTTTTTTAATTTGCTTGCTCCACGTAATAGAAATTTCCACGCATTTGTTCACCTTTTCTCGTTATTATTGTAGAATAATGTGTATATTTTAAGATGTAGTTTCACTTACCTCGAGTGAATCTAGTTGTAAAAGAGAAAAGGTAAGGTAAGGTGGGTGCTGCGGAAGTGGTCGAATATGACATACAGTGGGGTCTTGGTAGTTTGAAGTCAGAAGTCAACTACCAGTTAATAGACTTTTTGCCGTATGAGTATACGTTCGGATTGCATGATGTTTAATACCGTTTCTATTAGTATAGTGCTAGCACTTTTCATTAAAGAAATTAGAGGTGGAGTTCACTGAAATAGTTCCATTATTGACTTTGGTTTCGGTTTGTCAAATGTTCATTGGTTCATATTTCAAAATTATTATTATTTTTATTACAATTTTGCAGGCCTTGTCGGCTTGACATAGTGGCACAAACAGCCAAGTCGAACCGATAGACTTACCTCCACGTGGGGCACCCTGGACAACGTATTTTCTTACGGCAAAAAAGTCTATCACTCGGCATTCGTTTTTGACTTCGATTTATTATGACTAGCTTTAAAAAAGGCTATAAGAAAAATCGCCCTCGTCAGGGCGAATCACAACGTCTTCAGATCCTCCAGTGGAATCCTGGAGGAATGTCTCCGGACAAAAAGATCCACGTACAGAAAATTCTACAAACCTATGATGTAGACATTTTCACAATTATGGAAGCTAACATTTCGGATGACAAACTGAAGTACTACCAATTCCCAGGTTACACCCTGTACCTTCTACCTAAATACCGGCAAGTTGCAAGTGGAATTCTAACTGGAGTTAAAGAAGGCCTCACCTCACACTACGATCTAATCAAGAGTATGGGCTCGACACAAGACAAATGTGAAATAATTTATTTATTTCAAATGGCAGGCGTTATGATAGGTATCATTAGCCCTTTAGTTGACTTCGTGCTTCACAGAAAGGAAGAGGAACCCCAAAGTGGCAAAAAGTCGAGAGGGAGGACAGAATAATGATTTACAGACGTAAAAGAGACAGACACAAAGGTAGAAGAATGTGAGTACTGTGGAATTAGTCGAATATGAAATGCGGCGGGGTCTTGGTAGTTTGAAGTCAGAAGTCAACTGCCGATTANTCACCCTAGACAATGTGTCTTCGTACGGCAAAAAATCTATCACTCGGCATTTGATTTGACTTCTATTCATTATTATTAGCCTGAAACAAGGCTAAAAGGGAAATCGCCCTCGTCAGAGCGAATCACAACGTCTTCAGAT